TTAAAGTACTAGATAGGTCAATACTGTGATTGGCTCCATGTTATGGCTCTTCAAAACTAGTCCGACCAAGTCGCGAATGCGTTATTATGCATCAAGGAAGAGTGAGTGTTCCGTTGATACTTGCTAACATGGCAGGCTTGCAAAACTTTGCTTTCAAACTACTCATCGATACAAGCCACCACCTCAATGGTACACTATATGACTTATCGAATTCATACTCCGAAAAAGCCAAGATTACTGTTTGATGGAACACTCGCTTACTACTAACATTTCACGCTTTACGCCGGATCATCATCATCCTCATCATTACACGTTAGCTGGAGGTAGAAAACACCTCAGCTATTTTGCCGCACTACAAAAGATAAGAAAAGGAAAACAAACAGTGGCACGCCCGCTGAGACCCAGTAACGGATGGACATCGTTCCGGAGAGCTAACAGCTGGCTGCTATAAAAGAGAATCATAATTTGCCTAACAAGTGAGATCGGGATTGGAGGGGATGCTAAACAGGAGGGGGATGGACAAACGAACTCACAACACAAACGCCATTGAGGTCGGCTCCAAGCCATATCAGCAAGTGTGTCCAACCAAACGTGTTCACCGTCCTTAGCACCCCAGCCAGGCAGTCGGGATGCACTAACCGACGCCAACTTCGAAGTGAGGGATTTATCACTCTCGAGCAAGTCATCACTTGGCCTCCCCTCCTCCTCTTCCAACCACACCCACAACGCGCAAACAACGCACGTCTCGGAATTCGGTATGCTGGCATGCGCAACACGTGACCCAGCCATCGGAGTTTGGTGCGTGACATAATGGTGCTGAGCGGTTCACTCACTCTTCCTGCACCAAATACGCGACGTCGAACACGCGCATTGCTCACGCGGTGCTCCCACCAGACATGAGCTAAGCTGCGAAGGCAGCGATGATCGACAAGTCCACGTCTACAAGCTTGGGGCACACGATCTGAAGACCACCACTCAGGAACGCGACTTGGGTGTGCTGGTACAGGAAGACCTCGGGTGTTCCAAACAGTCAGATACCGCTTCTAAAAGGGGCAACCAGCACGTTGGACTCCTGCGAAGAGCATTCGGAATTTTGGATCCATCCATCTTCTCTTTGATGCTGAATGCCTACGTGCGTCCTCACGTCGAATATGCAATCCAGGCCTGGCAACCCTGGCTAAAACGTGACCTTGCAGCGCTTGAGACCCCACAGCGTCGAGCAACGAAAATCGTCAAGGGCTTGCGCCACACTCCTTACGAGGAACGACTGGAGATACTCGGAGTGTTCAGCGGACGGTACCGGCGACTTCGTGGAGACCTCATACTAGTGTACCAGATATTGAGCGATCCCAGTCACGTATGCCGCCCCCTCTTGAAGCTCAGCCCGAACACTAACCTTCGCGGTAACAGTTTAAAGCTGAGCCAACAGTACAGTCGTCTAGACTGTCGGAAAACCTATTTCTCCCTCCGGGTCTGCGGGCCCTGGAACGCCCTTCCAAACTCAGTAGTTTGTGCCCCCACATTAGATACGTTTAAAAAACGATTGGACGTCGCACTGAGCGCCCTGCGCTTCGTTTTATGAACGAAAACGCTTGTATATATTTAGGCTGACCAGCCTCTTTGGATTTTTACCCCAAATTCACGGTCGTAAATCTGTGCGAACCGGTGAGTACTCCATTTTTATTTGCTACCATCACCAACGATAACAATTTCTTAGCCAGTTTTGCGTCGTACCACTTTATCCCCCTAAAACTGTTATACTTCTACCTTTTATCTCACTGACACTCCTTACTTCAACCACTTATGTGGTTTGCCAATTTGTTAGTATTTCTATTGCCAACCTGCGGGACTCGTTAAGTGTATGCATTTTTACCCGTCATATACCATTGTTCCATTGTCTGTCGACTTGCTGGACCAGGTTTCACAGCCATATAGGAGAGTTGAACGGACGGCTGCGTCGTAAACTCTGCCCTTCAGGGCGAAAGTAATGTCGCGTCTGCACCACAGGTGGCGGAGATTGGCAAAAGCACCTCGAGCTTTACTATACGGTTCATAACCTCATCTTCAATCCCACGGGTGTTAATATAGCTGCCAAGCACTTGAATTCCTGAACTACTTCTGGCAGATCACCACCAAGCGTTAGCGCAGGGTTGGGTCCCTGCCGTTCTTGGAGAAGTACTTTGCATTTCGATGGAGCAAAGCATAGCCCAAAATGATTGACAGCCACTGCTAATCGGTCCAGTGCTGTTTGGCATGTTTAGAAGCTGTCACAGATTAGGCCAATATCGTCTGCACACACCAAGTCAAGAAGTCGCTCACCAGGAACTAACTTCACATCTTCTAGATCGTGTCCAACCAACGCTGTTTCCATGAATTCATCAATAGCGAAGTTGAAGAGGAAAGGTGACAGCGGGCATCATTGTCTCACACTGCTGGTGATACTGAAGGGTGGCGACAGTTTGCCATAAACCCTCACTCTGCCCGAACTGTGTGCGTACAGCTCTTTGATAATCTTTACATATCTATCAGGCACACCTTTCCTCAACAGACAGTCCCAAAGGGCACATCGATCGCCGGACCATACAATTTGCATTTCCATCCCATGAGTCACGTAGATGTAAATGCTTTTAATTCCATATTACACTATTGCACTATTGTCGTCTCAAGTTTAGCACGTAGTTGTGAGACCATAACTCACTCGTTCAAGGGTCTACAATCAAATTTAGAGTGAATTTATAGAACTATCTATGCCATCTAGCGACAGCCTCTTTGTATTTCCAGGTAACAAGCCTTATCTTTCACAACACTTTGGCGTGTATATTTTAGTTGCATATGCAAGCGCCTTGAATTCGTAGAAATCATTCTTAACTTAACAATTCTATACAGCTGAAATGTACGGTGAATCCTAGTCAGCTCCATACTTGTCTTTTCATGCTGAACATATTGGGTGTTACGGCCTGTTGGCAAAGCAAGATGAGCCTCCGTCCTGAGAACAATGAACAGTGCATTTATAGGGTTAAGAAGCGTTGCATTACAAGTCCCTTTCGATTGTTGGTGGGGATATTGCATTAACAATATTGATAATGATGATAGTAAGACAGTTAGTACTTCAAATATGAAAATAAGGACTTATCGTTTACTCCGCTGTAGTCCTACAATCCACTTAGATTCATAGCACTCACAGTTAACATCAAATAATTCCACGGTAAACTCCAGGTGTAGGGTTGTCCGGTGGCCGAGTGGTATGAGAGTCCGGCTTGCAATCTTAAAGTCACTGGTTCGAATCTGCGTAGGGGCGGGCGTCCTCGTAGGATACAGCCTACGCGCGACTAATGGTGGTCGCGTGGCAGCGACGCGCCGTTACGGCGCACAGCTGGCGATTTCTTATGTCATTTGTTTTATTCCAGGTGTAGGATGGAGACGTAGTGTTAAGTAACAAAATGTAAGTAGACGAGTGCATCATCCAACTGTTAGTGTCGGTGCAGAGACGACCGATTCTGGGAGAGCATTCCACGGGTGACAGACACGGATGGAAAAGAAATTTCTGCGGCACTCCAGACGACTGTATTGTTCTGCGATTATTAATGAGTGGCCCCTCAGGTTTGCATTGCTGCTGAGTTGCAGTAAAGGGCGGCACACATTATGTGGGTTTCGCAGAATCAAGTATATCATAATTAGGTTGCATCGTAGTGTGCGATAGCTTCCACTGAATCCCTCCAATCGTTGCTGCCTCTCCTGGTATGAAAGATTACGCATTCCGATTACGTTCTTAGATTCCCGACTTTGTGGCTGCTCCAGTGCACTAAGGTCGTGTTTCAGCCATGGATGCCAGACTAGAATTGAATATTCGACATGAGAGCGAACATACGCGTTGAGCATTAGTCGAAATATGGAGCTGTTTATTTGTCCAAACACCCGCCTCAACAGCCCGATGTGTTGGTTCCCGGTCTTCGAGGCCTTGTTGGATTGCATGGAGCAACCCAAGTCATCTTGAACCAGGACACCGAAGTCACGTTCGACAGCTGAATGTTGCAGTATATTTGTTCCTAACCAGTATGGGTAACTGTTCTGATGTCGGATGGAAAGTACCTTGCATTTACTGACGTTGAAATGCAGTAAGTTTTGGGTTGACCATTGATACACCGTATTTAGGTCACTCTGGAGCAGATGCTGGTTGGCGTTCGTCTGGATCCTGCACCAAATCTTGATATCGTCCTCAAAAATTAAGAAGGTTGAGGCGATTCCCTGCGCAAGGTCATTAATAAACACCAAAAACAAACGTGAACTTAGAACTGAGCCTCGCGGCACACCACACCCGACTTGTATGGGGTCCGATAAAGAGCTCCAAACTCTGACAACTAATCGCCGTTGAAGTAGAAAGTTGGCAATCCAGCTTAAAAGAGGGTCGCCGATCCCGTAATGCTGGAACTTGGAGAGTAGTATCCGATGGTTTAGACAAATGAAACCCTTGGAAAAATCCAGGTAGATCGCATCAAGGCCTTCTCCAGAGTTATCTGACTTGGTCCATTTACTGCGTATGATTAGTAAATTGGTTGTGCATGAACGCTGTCGGCGGAAACCGTGCTGATGTTACGATTTTCCAGGTAGCACACCAGTGTATGGATTCCATGACCTTGGAGTGTATAGTAAGAAGGGACGCTGGGCAATAGTTGGAGGGATCAGTTCTGCTTCCACCTTTGTGAATCGGGGTTATTATTCCAAATTTCTACATGGCGCTGAATTGTTGTCTACGTTATGCAGCAACGGACACTCCCTGCTGAACATTCTAAGAAAGACCGTGACTTAGTCAATAGTCAGTAGGAGAAATGTTCAATCATTTATAAACCATAAATCAAATTTGTGTAAGACCACGTTAACTGCAATTTGTCTGACATCTCCAGTCTAATATAGAATCAACTAACGCTACTCGTTTTTGATCTTCATTTCAGCATCACTGATATCTCTAACGCTACGTTTTCCGGTCGTAAACTAGTCTGGTCATAATGGGAGAGGGCACGACGGTCAATTGTCAAAGTGCTTCACCATCGAATAACGAGGCAACTTCAAGTGAAGCTTTGGACTTATTGATGGAATTCCTAAACTGCGTTATGGCGAAAGATTTCCGCCAAGCATATACCGTCGGCCAAAAGGTCCTGGAGATTGAGCCAGAAAACAAGGAAGTTAAGGCGTTTTTGCCTCTGATTTCAGAAGCTCTAAAGATAAAGCTATCAGGGATTTTTCACCAAGATGTTGATTCTGAAAACGACAACGAAAATCTTGAGGAGGAGGAGACGGCGGAGGAAGAAGAAGAAGAATCCACCTCCAATTCTTCCAGTAGTAGCTCGGAGAGTGATAGTTCTTCATCATCCGATTTGGGCGACCGCACAGCAAAAGCATGAGTCATTCACGAGGCTTATACCCAGGTCCATGCAAGAGTTATGAGTGAACCACGCAATTTCAGATTCTTGACACAACCATTCTAATGATTTATGGGTCCTCCGCTCTACTTTCCTTTTTTACTACAAATCTCAACGTCGTAAAGGATAGTTACACTGTGTCTTACTTTGTGATAACAATGAGCAGATTCGAGTTCTCGATGTGCATATGTGGAAAAACCCATTTGCCCTGAAACATAAAAAGATAACTTGGTTTATTTTCCCAACGATGAGCATTCCAACAGAGTGAGAGTTGTATGAAGTGGAATGAAACGGCGGATGAATCAAATTCAGTTGGTGCTTGTGAACCTTCCACAAATGGCAAGTTCGGGACTAAACTGGTGAAATTTTTGTAGCGAAGTTTACTTAATGACGTCCCCGTAAAGAAGTAGAAAGTACCAACCACCTAAAGCACCTGTATAGTGACCATCTTTTTCCCTTTGGAATTGATTGAGGCTTGTTTTAGTCGTTATGAATTATACTTGTTTATATGCCAAATCACTGTACTTTGCTCAAGTTAAAAACTTTCGAAATAGTAAACCATAAAGCGGTTTTAAACATCCCAAGCTACAAGTTACTTGCAGATTGATATGTCCGGTTTTGTCCTTACGCTCAGAAAAGCTTTTGGAGGTTATAAACATTTTACTTTTTGCGTACTTTGAACGGAAAACGAACATAATTCGAGTAGATAGGGCTAATTCTTGACAAGTCCCGTGGGATGGTTTGCGAAGAAAAACGTGATAACAAAGTAACACAGGCGTCTGTGGATCTACCACAATAGCGCCGTCACCCACATGTATATCCGTCTGCCACGATTTCTTACGGACTGGTGATCACAATGTTTGTTTGCATCTGGTAATCACTCGATGCGCTTAATTCAAGTCTCTTGTAATGCATGGCCAACCTAAGCTCACGACTGACAAATTCGTAGCGATAAAGTTTAGGCGACATTCCAACCGACTGTATTGGGTGGGCAATTTCAGCAAGTGCCCCCTCAGTTTGATGTAGCAGCTAATTTTAAGGAGATAGCGGCAAACATGACTATGGTTTTTCAACATTGGGTACGCTAGAACGAGGTCACTCTGCAGACAACGACAACTTTTGTTGTACACTAGTAGAACATCAGTCGCAGTCAGTATGGTAGATGGAACAATCCGTAAACGCTTTTGGTTATCTTTCGCTTTGGTTCCTTCTTCTGTGCAGCAGAATCACCTTACAATCACTTATGCTGCGCCTGGGTTGTGCACTCCACATGTGGCCTCACAATCGTATTGAACATTTTCTGGACGAGATGGTAGGTTCGCACGGTTCGAAAGCTATCCAGATATAGTACAACAGCGTATGATGGGATAAAAAGCACAACTTTACAAGACCCAAAATTTGGAAAATGCACAAGAAAATGAAACTCGAAAATGTTCCAACGTGGAACGTGAATTATCAGTAGTAAAGACACCGCATTTTATCACACAGTTGTGTAGCGTTTAGCATTAACATGAAAGTCTAGAAATCTCTCGAATCCCGCGATGTCCGTTGCGTTCACCACATGTTTTGATAGTGCATTCCAATGGGAACAAGTGCTAGGAGAGTAACAATACTTTCTACAATCCAACCGGGAGTGGTGCGTTACCAGTTTCAGGCGGTGACATCGTCATTCTTTGTATGGATCTATGGCCAGCAATGATGTACATGGGTGCTCGCATTCTGTTAGTATTCGGTATGTGCGAACGAGTTCCCCGCGCATCCGTCGATAATCTGAGGAGAACACACCGAGTAAACGAAGGCGCACTTGGTAACTGAGACCGGATAATCCAAGTGTCGCCTTGTAGCTCTTCTTTGGGTTTGCTGCAAGTGACGAACATCTCGTTTTCACCATGGTCACCAAGCCTGAACCGCATATTTAACATGGCGCTGAAGATATTTGACGATCGACAGTGGTACTAGCAGTGGCTCAGAGGTACCGAAAGCTCGCCTCAAAAGCCTCAAGTCCAAGTTCGTCAAATTCGCTGGTTCGAATAATAGAGCGAATTGCCAAGACTATCTTGAATGATGATACCTAAGTCTCGTTCACTGGAAGCCTTTTACAAAACGTGCTATCCCAGAAGATATGTGTTGTAGGAGTTGCTACGCAGTGTCAGCAGGTGGCACTTTGCAGGGTTCAGTGGGAGCTGGTTCTTTCTACCCATTCGTTAATCCGGTCCAGATGGTTCTGGAAACAGGCACAGTCGGATGCCGAGCGAATTTCTCCCCTTATTTTAGCATCATCTTTAATTATCTGCATCGGGGATTAAGACATTTATGGTAAATCATTTATGTAAACTAAAAACAGTAGCGGGCCGGTCACTGGTTTATCCTGAGATAAAAGCAAGCGCTTGGCGCGTCCCGTAGGATGGTTCGGGTGAATACGATGAAATCAAAATGTACGTGGGTCATCTACCGAGCGTCTATCGAGATGAATGTGTGGATAACTAACGTCAGTGTCAAATAAAAATCGAGTGTAACCGTTCAGAAATACACCGGGGTGCAATGGTCGTTGATGTAAAGCGTGGGCAAAATAAAATATGGTCGCTCACTTATCCGCCGCCTTCTTGGGCCCATGTGACACGTAAATCCTGTAGAAGGGCATGATTGGCGTAATCCAAATTGGTGTGATTTAGGTAATAACTTGTTGGGCACTAAGAGCAACATCCAATCAGATTGAAAATGTCCAAATTAGGGGAGGATATAACGGTGTCTGGGAGTACGTTCCAGACTTGGCAACCCCGAAAGGAAAAGTAATTCCGTCGACACTCTAGACGGCTATATTGTTCCTTCAATTTCAAACAGTTACCCTGAGCTGTGTGTTGTGGCTAACTTTCAGCAAATGGCGACATACGTGGTTGGGATCACTCAATATTTGATCCACAAATATGAGATTTCTGCGCAGCCTTCGGTAGCGTCCGCTGAAAATTCTCAGCAACTTCAGCCTTCGGTTGTAATAGTGATAGCGCAGGCACTTCACATTCTTTGTTGCTCCTCGTTGTGGTGCCTCTAATGCCTCTAGGTCGCGCTTCAACCAACGTTACCAAGCTAGCATAGCGTATTCAACGTGAGGGCGCTCATAGAAATTATGCATCATGGGAAGATTGATGGATCAATTCTTCCGAAAGCCCTTGGCAGTATGCCAACTTGCTTGTTGCCTCTTTTCGCAGCTAACTCAGCCGGGTTTGAACAGTTGAGGTCACTCTATAGGAGCACACCAAGGTCACGTTCCTGGGAGCTGGTCTGCAATCCGTATGTCCCAAGCAAATAGGTGTAGATATATCTACGGCGTAATTGTACAACGCGACATTTGTCTACGTTGAATGTAGAACGTTTTGAACTGACCAGTTCAACATCATGTTAAGATCGCACTGGAGCCGTTCGTGGTCGTCCGGTCCTCTGATCCTTCGCCATATCTTGATATCATTAACGAAAAATAGGAAAACGGAAGCAATTGATCCCGTTAAATTGTTTATTAGCCCCGAAAATAGACGAGGCCCTAGCACTGATCCTTGTGGTACACCACACTTCACATCATTTGCATCGGACAGGGATTCCCGCACTCTCACCTTCAACTGACCTTCGTGTAGCAAATTGCTTATCCAACTCAGGATTGGGTCGCCAATGTTGTAGTTCCGATACTTGTAAAGGAGAATTTGATGGTCTGAGCAATCAAACACTTTTGAGAAATTTAGCTAGATGACATCGACTACTGCTCCATCATCAACGGCTTCAGTCCAACTATTGCGTGCAATTAACAGGTTAGTTTTACATGAACGATTTTGACGGAAGCCGTGTTGCGCTGGGGCTACTAAATTGTGCCTTTCCAGATACTGCATTAGCGCATCTACAATGACTGATTCCATAACGTCATTGGACGGTATTTGGTAGGGTCAGTGCGACTAGTTCTTCCATGGATATTAGTGTTGACCCTCGCTTCAATATTGCTCGAATATGGTTCCCCTCTAGCCATCGCTGGTAGGAAACGGCCAGTGATTCTGCTGGATCACTAGCTGCTGCTTACAGACCCTTAGGTCGAATGTTGTCGACTCCAGGAGAACTGTGGATACGTAAGAATAACAACTTCTTTAACACAGCTTCCGCAGTGAAGGTGATGTTGTCTAAACCCGACGGTGGAGTAATAGAAATGAGAATATTTGGGCTCGTTACCTGTTGGAAAGTGTTGGAGTACTGAAGCCGTTGGAAGTCGGTTGCTTCTATTGCTGATCATGTGCATCCATCAGTCGTGACCAGTGCTGAAATCCCGCGCTTCAACTTTCGAAGGCCATTAACATGCCTGTACAGAAGTCTGCGGTTCGTGCAGAATCGCTTCGTTAACTCCTGCTGATGCGTGAACTTGTCCTCGCCAATCAGTTTGATACAGCATTTACAATGTGTCACGTATGCAGTGCAGGTTTCGGCATCCGGGTCGTGCTTGCGAGCTCGCCATGCCAAATCCATCAGGGACATACATTTACGTGTTCTGCTCCTCAGAAATGACTTATGCTTGTTTTGGGGTTGGAAGGACTTCTGTTCCGATGCGTGCGCGACCAGTGTGCTAAAAGTCCTTGTGAACGTTTCCCAGGCAAAGTCTAGGGGCATTCGGTTAAGACAGTCCAAGATGTATCCTTAACAAGCGTAGATAACAAGTTATAGTGCATGACAGTATGCACTTTATCATCCTACTTTTCAGGATATTCCGCATAGCATATTTAGTCAAAGAATAGAGTTACATGGTCACTGTGACCAAGTGACGTGGTTGTAACTATCCTGTTGACCATGAGTTCTTCCTTAGTGAGCATAAGTCGAGTATTTACGGCTTGTTGGCAGTTCGAAATCCGGTGAGAAAGGCTAAGGGAGGTGTCTAGCAATTAGCTCTTGCAAGCAGGCTTTAAATTACGCACCATCGGTTGTTGGCATTACCATGTCGTGCACATTGCAGTCTTCAGCGATAAGAATATGGGTACAGGACTAGTTCAAAGCAAACTGAAAGGCGTGGTTTAGCTTGGAGTCCATTTCCTACGTAGAGTTTGGTGGGCGGTAAATTACGGCTAATAGACATGTGTCCTCGTTCCGCAAGCATAGGCAGCATCAAAACGAATCAGGAGCGCGAATTTGCAAGTGATCCATAGCTTCCAGTTCCATCGTGCCGAAGCAGCGACATACCAGGTAACTTGATCTCGAAATCGATTATCTCG